TGCAGAAATCTTCTCTAAGCAATTAGCCTAAAGCGAATACACCACCAAATGACTAGAATCCAGAGAAGAGAGACCGCAGAGTGAGCAGCAGGGAGAAGTACGGAGCTGCAGAGAGAGAGGCTCATCTCCTCCCACATGCCTGGGAGCTCTCAATTGAAATCCCGTAGCTCAGCCCAGGTGCACCTATTCCCTAGAAACTGTGAGGCCTTTGCAATATCCAGTTCCAAGGTCAAAAACACAGCCTGCTTGGTGAGCGTCAGGGAAACGGAACTTCAGAGAGCTTGCAGATCACCTCCTCCCGCACAGCTCTGAACACTTAGAATTTACTCCAAGAAAGTAGGAAGAAGCATATAATCCATCAGATGACCAGAAATCCACAGAGGCATAGGAAATGTGAGAAACCAAGAAAATATCTCTCCCCCAAGGGAAAAGAACAACCCCTCATCATCCAGAGAAAGTACAATGGAACTCATGGAAATGTCCAATAAAGAATTCAGAATATTCATAGTGACAAAACTAAATAAGATGCAAGAGCTGAGAAACAATGAACTCCAAGAGAAAAGAGACAACAAGTTCCAGGAGGTGAGGAAGTTCTTTCATGACTTGAAAGAAGAAATATACTCCATAAAAAAAAAGAATCCAATGGAGCTGTTAGAGATGAAGGCTGTAATTCAGGAAGTCAAAACCTCCCTCAAAAGCATTAAAAGCAGATTAGACCATGCAGAAGATCGAATCTCAGGCATTGAAAACAAAACTTCTGACCTAGAAATCACCAAAAAGACAGAAAATAACCCAAAATCATGAGCATAATATACGAGAAACAGATACCATTAAGCACCCAAACATCTGGATAATAGGTCTCCCTGAAGGTGAAGAAACTGATAAGGGCATGAAATCCTGTAAGAAAACTTTCCAAACCTAGAGAGGCATCTGCATATCCAGACCCAAGAAATACAAAGGAACCCTAATAGAATCAACCCAAGAAGATCTTCTCCAAGACAGATTATTAGCCAGATTGGCCAAATCCACAGACAAAGACAAGATACTAAAATTGGCAAGACAGAAATGTCAGGTTCCTTACAAAGGTTATCCTATCAGGCTGACATTGGATCTCTCATCAGAAACAATGTGAGTAAGGAAAGAAAGAGTGAGAAAATATATTCAAAGTGTTAAGTGAGAAACAATTTCAACCAAGAATATTATGCCTGGCAAGATTATCCTTCATATGGGAAGAAAATATAAAAACATTCTCAGATAAACAAAACTTGAAAGAATTTACCAACGCCAGACAAGCTCTCCAAGAAGTTCTGAAGGGAGTGCTCTACCAGGAAAACTAACCACGCACAGACAGAAATAAAAGAACAAAAAGTAACCAAGAAAATACTAGGGACAAGTTGGAAATATCGATAATAATGTTGATTGTTAACTTCCAGGATTGAAATGGAAAGACAAGACCACAGTAACACTGAAAATTCAACAGAAGAGAGATTAATTGCATGAGACTGAACTGGTTAAATAGAATTGTATGACTTCTGACTAAAACAGGACTGTTTTTTTTTTTTTTTTTGCTTTCTTTTCCAGATTTAAAGATTTTGCTTTCTATTGAGCTGTTGGTAGGTTTAGTAATTTGTTAATTTTTTTTTTTTTTTTC